GAGAAAGGAAAGTTGATCTACATAATAAGTTTTCCACATTAGCATACACGTAATATTTGTATAAAGTATGCATTTTTAAAGACTTCCCAGAACTCATCTGAAAACTATGAAAAAGTATTCCATTTAGAAATATTTTTAAATTTGATAGTGACCTTTTTTACCCCCTTCTCCATAGACAGTAACATTTTCACTAAAGAGAAACTATTCATTTAGATAAGTTTTTTATCTGCTATGTTCCGACATGCTTAAACTTTTTCATGCTAAGAGATATTTTTAGAACAACTGTGGTGTCACAAATGAAACCTGAAATCACTTAGTTACACTGAATCTGCTTTTTTAAATTCTATCTTAACTGTAGGAAAGAAAAACTATTTTTAAAAATACAAATTTAATGCACAATTCAAGGCAGAAAGGACACACACGCATGGCTTGTAGAAACAACCTTTTCCAGTAGAATATTATTTATAGTGTTGATCACTGTCAATCAGGGTCTAGAGTCCTATTTATCCTCAAGTCCATTTTGAATATTTTCTGAGTGGAACATTTTTCAGTCATTAAGGAAGATTCTCAGATCAATTTACCTTTGCTTCTGAACTCCTGCAACACTTACTTCGGACACCAACTCATGTAACACTGGCCTTTCCTTGTCATATTGGCCACATGGGTGTATGGTAGAAAGAGGCCCTGTTTAGGCCATAGGAGAGCTGGCTCTTAGGTTCTGCTCTGCCTTTAACCAGCCAGGTGTGAATGCTTGGCCATAGCACTTTAAGCTCTCAGGGACTTGTTTTCCTCAATTTTGGAAACATAAACAAGGCAAAGACAGGAAGGGGCGCAGAGGTTGGATGGGTTTTCTATGATCTGTTCCAGTTCAAAGCTTTCCTGTTTGGGGTATCTACTTTCCATATTTAAGAGGTTAGGGAATATCATTCAACTTTCAAAAGGAGTGAAATTCCGACATATGCTACAACATAGATGAACCTTGAAAACTTTATGCTAAGTGAATAAGCGAAACTCAGATGAACACATATTGTATGATTCCACTTATATGAGGTACCCAGAATGGTCCAATTCATAGAGACAGAAAGCAGAATGGTGGTTACTGGCCTAGGGGCAGGGGGTAATAGGGAGTAAGGGTTTAATGTGTACAGGGTCTCAGTTTGGGATGAAGAAAAAGTTTGGGAGAAGGATAGCTGTCATGGTTGCATAATAATGGGAATACACTTAATGTCAGTGAATTGTACCCATGAAAATGGTTTAAATGGTAAATTTTATGCTATATAAATTTTACTACAATTTTTTAAAGAGTAAGCAAACAAAATTAGGGCTGGCCGAGGGCTCAGTTGGTTAAGAGTTAGCTTAAAAGCACGAGCTCTGAGCAACAGAGCCGCCGGTTCGATTCCCACATGGGCCAGTGACACTGTGCCCGAGCTGAGCTTCCACTGAGCTGCCAACAGGTGACAGGATGGCTCAGCTGGTGAGAGCACGTTCTCCTAACAACAAGACTGCCTGTTCGATGGTGGGCTACGTACGCCCCGCCCGCAACTAAGACTGAACTTGGTACCTTAAGCTGAGCTGCCGCCCAGACAGCTCAGTGGATAGAGCATGTGCTCCTAACAACAAGGCTGCTGGTTTGACTCCCGCATGGGATGGTGGCTACGCCCACCCACAACTAAGATTGTAACACAGCACCTTGAGCTTAGAGGCCACGAGCTGCCGACGGGCAGCCAGATGGCGAATGGTGTCCTCCACAACTTGAAGAACAACAACTTGGCTGGTCCCCTCCCCCAATTCCCCAATTAAAAAAAAAAATTACAGGTTCAAAAAATGCAGTTTTTAAAAGCTTTTGATATTTATCATTTATCTAATTAAGGGGATAATATTTTTTGATTGAATGAAAAAAAGGGGGCTGGTGTAGGGACATGAAAATTAGGTTGAAAGAAGGCACTAGGATATTTATCTTAAAGTTGATTTTGCATGGTAGTCACACTGGGTGTTAATACTTAAGATTGTACGTCTATATGCAATGGTTAGGGTATGGCTGGAGGGGTTCATGAACATTACAAGGAGGGCCTAAAGCCCCCACCCAAGCCACTCCCCCTTGGGGTACCATGGTTCTAATAGGCTATAAGTTCCTTGAGAGCAGGATATACATTTTTCCATCTCCTCATAACACACAGTGGGAGTTCTGCAAATTGGTTGATTTTCATTCCATTAGACATAAACATGTTTAAAAGGATTTTCTTGCACTAAAATTAATCTGTAAGGGATTATTTATTATGCAAATTTTAGGATTATAACTATTAGAAAACATGATTCGAAGAAGTTCTTTACCGAACCTTTAGGAGATGGTTATTATTATTTATTTCTGCAGTGATAAACAAATTATATAACCAAAAATATATTCGCCAAATATAGTAAGAAAGCAGATCATAGATCACATCATGTATCATTTTGGCAGACTGGGTTTAGCAGTATATTTCTATTCTATTTCCACTTTGTAGATGTAAACATTTATTTTTAACAGATATTTACAAATGTTGAGTAGAACAATGCAGAATACTGAATGTAACACTTGCCTTTAAAGGAACACAAACTGATAAAATAATATTTATAGTACCTTTTACTTGAAAAGGTCAAAGTACTAAAAAGATATAAAAGGCTCATTAAAGCCAAGCAATATATAAATAGACTAAATACTGTTGCATTCTTGCTAATCTTGCAACCATAGATAATTGTCTAAGCTGGTTAATTTTTATCTTCTTGATCTGATACTTGTTTCTATTTTCCTCATTCTTTGCTATTCATGAACCTTACAGTCAGCCATATTTTTAAAATAACACCTTGCATTATTCTCCAACCAAGCTGGAGTATATGATTCTTGGAAATTCCCAGAAATTAACTAGAGAGGTTTTCTAGAACTTGGAAGATCAGATCCTATTTAAAAACTACTGATAATGAAAAATTACGGCATCGCTTTAACTGAATTAGGTTTTCCTTGAGCAATATTAAAAGAATAGTTTCCTTTGGTCATTTGAATTTAAATCCTTTGTATTAATCATAACTCTCATTAGCATCAAGGGAAACCTACCATCATCACTCTCTAAAGCAAAGGACAAGTTTAAGTATCTATTGACAAAGTTAGCAAATATTTACATTAATTTAAACTTGGGTAAAGGACATTTTAAATATTTAGTTGATTAAAAATAAAAACAAGCAAGCAAACACTCCTTTTCCTCCCCCTCAAAAAAAAAAAAGAAAAAAGGAAAGAAGGAAGGAAAAAGAAAAAGAGAAAGAAAAGGAATGGAAAGAGGAGGAAAGGAAACTGACACTGTGATCTCTGACTTAAGCAAAGTGCTGTCAACTCCGCTTTTATTTCTAAACTCTAAACCAAAAAAAAAAAAATCAATGGAGAGAGTTTTCATTACAAGATTGAAATATTTTAACAAGTACATTTATAAAGACACACATCCAGAAAAAGTTCTCATATACACCATCCTCACCTTTAATAAATGAAGAAGATACTTGTTTTTATTAATCACTTTATGTAACATAATTATCTTTTAGGCAATTTATCTACAAGAAGTAAAATAAGACATTTTCTAGTTGTTATCAGAGACAGAAATAAAAGGAAAATACATATATAATAAGTTTATAACTCTCACAGGACTTATATGTCAAATAAGACATATTTTCTTTTTTTTTTCAAGACTACCCCAAGTATAGCTCTAATTTAAATCATTAATAAGACATTTCACATTAAATAGCATGAGTTCAAGCTGCAATTTCCAAATAAGTATAATAGCAGTTTAGTCCAAAAGCTTGAAAAGAAATGGTAGCTTATTCTATGCAAAACATAAAGTATAACTTTATGCATCTTACATAATCTTCTTTATGACTAAGAACTAACTTCAAAAGTAGTATAAAAATTGACAAAAGTTTAAAAATAAAGTAGGTTCCGACCCAGTGGCTCAGTTGGTTAAGAGCTCACTCAAGAGTGCGAGCTGTGAGCAACAGGGTCGCCTGTTTGATTCCCTGCTGGAGCTGAGCTGCCAACAGGTGGCAGGATGGCTCAGCTAGAAAAAAAATAATAAATAAAGTAGGTTCTAAATAAAAATGCAAACAAATACCTACATTGAAAACAAACGAACTATCCCATTGCCTTTATTTTTTCCCTTATAGCCCCTATCTAAAACGGTAAAAATGAGGTCACTTAGCTAATTCATCAGCCAACAGTAGTTCAGTGGATTGTTTTCATCATTGGACTATTGTCACGCTGAGCAGGGCTGATCCTTATCAATTTCTTTGGTTTCAAAGCTAGGCATCACAGGAAAAGGGCCAAAAAATGTTTTATTCAACATGTGGGATGCACTTTAAGTGGAATGTGCATACAGCCTTAACGCACTGTTCTTTTGAAGTGAATGCCATTCACACTGGGCAAACGTCTGGTTATTCAAGGCCTTAAGATTAGCTTTCAAACTGGAAATCTCCAAAATATATACCTTGATTGTTTATATTTATTCTTCATGGATGTGCTAAATAATGTAGGGACTTTCGTGCCCTTTGCGTCTAACAGTATACATGATTCAGCCAAATCCATGTTACATATTTTCTCCCACCTACCACTCTGGCCACACCAACTACTTACTATGCACTGCTCACAAAACCGCCTTTCAAAATGCAGAGAATTAAAAGCAAGGCGGTAAAGACTTTTATAAATATAGTCCCATCATGTTTATTTTACACTCATCTAGTCGGTCACCAGCGGCAGCCAGCGGCTTTGGACACTTAGAAGCATCCCTCAAAGTAGAACCCAGGGGCGCTAGACAGCTACGCCATCTACCTGTTGAACCTGGGCCGTGGCTCTCAACTGTCAGATCAGCTTCTCTGACCTAGAAATGCTAATTATCGTTTTTTTATTTTTGGAGGGTTTTGGGGTTTTTTTGTAAGTTGTTTGCTAATGTTTCTTCTCACCCTCTACTTCTTTCGGGTGGTTGCCGCAGAACCCAGGGAGCCGCAGAGCCCACGAGCTCCTCGGCCCGGCCGGTTGCAGCAGCGGTGTGGGGTGGGGCGGCCAGGCGGCGCCTCGCTGCAGCGGACGGAGGTCATCACAGGCCGGGCAGAGAGGCAAGGAGCCCGCTCGGCCCAGATTTACTCACCTGCAGTCGGGAGAGGCGATCGGGACGTGCTGTTCGCCCAGACCGGGACCAGGTCGGAGGAGGCGGGAGTAGTGGCGCCGGGGCAAGGGGTGCGTAAGGAGGAAATCGTAGTATCTAAGCCGGGGATGCGGAGCCCAGAAGGAGGCTGCAGCCTTTCCCTCCAGAAACGGAAGAGGCGGGGGAGGAGGAGGAGGAGAAAGTGGAGAAGGAGGAGGCGGCTGGGCACGGGCGGCTAGCAAAGGGGCGCCAGGCGTCTGGCCGCAGGCTCAGAGGGCGAGGGGCGGGGAGCACGGCGGAGGTCATCCAAGGGGAAGGCGAAGCCCGGCTGCGCGCTGCCTCCCTCGCCCTGGCTCGCCCCTCTGCAACCGCCAGGCCACCGCCCCTTCGTTTTTCCCAAGACCGCGGCGTGGAACCGCACAGTGACGCCTCAAGGCTCCCGGGGCGGGCCAGGGCATCCCACGTCTGCAGGAGCCAGGCAAGGCGTCTGAGACGTCACAAGTGGAGCATAATGATGCAGAGAAGAGCGCAAGGGAAAAAAGCATCCAGGGTCACCTAATCCGCTGTTTTTGTTCTTGTAGCTGCTCACAGGTTCGCTGTCACGTCCTCCTCCATTGTTCTGTACTCTTTTGGGGGTGGGGTTATGGGTTTGACCGAAAGGTTGGCAACTGTGAAGATGGACTTCCTGCCGGTGACAATCGGGTCCCATTGTTCTAACAGAAATGTCAAGTGTGCTGGTTGTTCCTCAAACCATAGCAGTGCCTCCAGTGCTTGCCACCACGACAGGAAGCCTGTCATGGGTGGGGAACTCCTCCCTTGAAGCCTTTAAACCGTGATACTCAGTATACCTGAAAGATGGTTTTGAATGGTGGGTGGGGATAGGAATAGGTGGTGATAGGGGGAGGGGCAGACATTTTTTAAAAGGCAGCATCAAGTTTGAGTAGGAGGGCCCTGGCAGCTGGCCCAGCAGGTTGAACGTCGTGAGTGCATTGGGCCTTCTAAAGTAGTGCTTCATACACCTACTTCACGGCACACCCAGGAAATGGTAATGTCTGCGAGACCCAAACGGGGGTAAACAGAAGAGGCTGCTCATACAGGAGTGACTGTGCCCTTCCGCCAGGAGCGCTGAGGAGACTGGTATCTACACATCTGTACCCATTCCATGGCATGAAATTGGGAAGCTTTGTATTAAAGTTCTAGCTGGCAGAGTTTCTTATCTACATTTTCCTAAACCACCCAAGACTGCCTCCTGAGTCATCAATACTTGGTCCTCAGAGCAGTGAGACACCAGCAAGATAGAAGTCTGGGGCAATACCCGACTTGGTCATACTCCACAATGGTGCTTAAAACTTTATATCTTCCAGACGGAACTGTCTTTCTGCTCCCCGCCTGCTTCTCTGGTCTCCAACTCAAGACAGCCTCCCCTCTCCTCCCCTCCCTGCCTGCGATTCCCTGGCTTTCACTCATTAGCAAGTAGTGTTGATCCCATCTTCTCTCAGGTTGTCTTTTAGGTCCTTAGGGCCCTCCCTATTGGTATTGTTTATAAATTAGTCTCATAATCTTATCTATGATGCCAAAATAGAAATAGTTTAAAAGTTAAAAAAGAAATAATTTAAACATGCTATTTGGAAGCGAAGAGGCAAATACCTAAATAGTTAGAAGGTGGAAGAATTTGCCTCTAGAGATCAGGAATTTCATGAGGGGAGGGTGGGGCAGGAGACACAGCAGTATGATTTACGATATGAATCTAGTGCATTTTCCGCTTGGCTACCACAGGGGTCATCCTGCATCACATATCCCTGGGCTTCTTGCTGGCTGAACAGCCTTCTCTGGCTCCCAATCTCTGGTAATACGAGAGCAAGACCCTGGGCATGGCTTTCAGGGCCCATCTCCCCCTCCCGTCTTGCCTCTCACGCTTGACACCCCATTTTGCCACATCACATCTAGTTTCCCACACACACAAAGTTGTTTTATACCTTTGTACCTTTACAAATGTTATTTCTTTTGCCTAGAGTATCCTCTTGCTGCTATAATAATAACCAATGGCACGATGCTAAGTGCTTTTTGTGTTTTATAGCTGTTCATTCTCATATCAACCCTATGGCAGGCATTACTATTACCTCCATTTAATAAAGAATAAAACTGTGACTTAGGTTAAGTAATTTACTCAAATATGTAGTATGTGGTCCAAATTTGAACCCGGCAATATGACTCCAGGACTCCCAAGTGAATTGCTTTTAATCTCAGAGTAAGCATGGAATAAAGGGCAAAATTACACAGGAAAAGTGACAAATTTAACTATAGAATTTTTAACTGCTTTCATCAAAAAGACCCATAGAATAAAATTGAAAGGCAAGTAAAAACTACCAAAAAATTTGCAATATGTAATGAAAGATAAGAGAGTAACATCCTTATTTAATAAAGAGCTCTTACAAAGAAATATAAATTTCCTGTTTATTTTCAAAATGGGCAAAAATGTAAATTAGTTAAGTCATGAAAGGAAAATTAAATGACCAAACATATTTTTAAGGGAAGTGAAAACTTAAACCAATAACACCCCATCAAGTTGACTGAGACTAAAAGAGTACTCAGAGCTAACAATTTGGGTGGGACAATGACCTTTGAGGCAGGATGTGTGGCACATGACCAAGCTCAGTACTGAGCAGGGCATAAATTGCTTCAGTGTTTGTGGAGGGCATTTGGCAGAATGCAGTAAAAGGCTCAAAAATGTTCACACCCTTTGACTCAAAAATAGCATTTCCTGGAATTCATAATACAGGGATTGACAAATGTTTTCTATAAAAGCCCATATAGTAAATACTTCAGGCTTTGCAGGCCGCATATGTTTCTGTTGTTTGTCTTCTTCGTGTGTGTGCTTTTTTTTTTTAACTCTTAAAAAATATGAAAGCTATTAGCTTGAGGGCTGTAGCAAAACAGGCTGTGGCCTGAAATTGGCTTGAGGGCAGTAATGTGTGCAAAGAATAGACAACAAGAAAGCTCATGACACAGTACATTTGGTAACTGCCAAAGAGAAAGCAAACTACATGTCTGAGGATAGACATTGGTTACCAGAGAGGAGGACACAAGTTTTTAGAAAGTTTTAAATGTTTTTAAAAGTTACCGAATGATATTTATTGCATGAGAAAGTATTTGAGATTTATTAACTGGAAAAATACAGTTTACAAAAAAAAATATGTTATCCCAAATCCAACATAATCATATGTGTATGTATGCATAGAGAAAGATCTTAAAGATATCAACACCCTAAGATGTTGATAATGGTCTTGGGGTGGGGGTGAGATTACAGCTATTTGGTTTTTTTTTTGTTGTGTGTGAATATATTCTTAAAGTGAATATATTTTGGTTTTTGTATTAAGAAAAAAATGTAAGAAACTTTGCTTGGGTGACAACAAAGCCCCTTAGTTTTCAATTTGAGAAAACCTTCCCTGAATCTACTCTCCCAGATGGAGTTGGTCCCTCTTGCTTCTGTGCTCCCAGAGCACATCATGGTCTTTTGAGCACCACTATTTACTAATTGGCCAATGGTTAATACCAACATTTACGGGAGCATTCCTCTATTGTTGGGCATCTGGGCTCCCAATATTCCACTATTGTAAGTATGCTGGCTATTTTCTACTTGCTCTCTGCCAGATCCATTTTCCATTCTTCTCTGCTAGATTGTGCCTCCAAAGGCAGAACTGTCATAGACTGTTTTCTCTGGGCTGTCTCGCCAGGCGGCTTTCAGGCCAATGGGTAACACCAACAATAGGTTGGAGGGCGGAAGAGGAGAAAAGTTGGAGTATTTCTTCCCATCAAGGCAGCTCCCTCTCCACTGCTCTAATTTGATCTCCTCCCCTTATCCCTTCAGTCCTAGCGTGGTAACAGTTTCTTACTGTTGTTGCAAGAGCCCAAGTACCTCCGTGTCTCCTCATCTCCACGTGGTGGTGTTTCCTTCCCTTCACCCAACCCTAACCCTAAACCTAATGGACATTTCTGTAAATAGTCCCTTCAATAAAATCTCTTTAGTTGAAATATCTGAGTGGAAGTTGGTTCCTGTTAGGACAGACTGATATATTAAAGGATACTGTTGAATATCAGAGAACACAAATCTTTTATTTCTTATGCAACAGACCCTGGATATTTTCAGATTTTACATCTGAACTTTTGACTCTTTGCAAGGTAATTATAGAATGATTTACAAGTTTACTGAAGCAGGAATTTGAATTATTGCAAAGCTAGAATTTGGCAATGTAACGCTCTATTGTTCTCCACTTCTCCAGTGGTTTTTAAGTAGTAACATCTCATTGCATTTTTTTGATGATATATGCTACTGTACAGCAGTGTTCAAATTTTGATGTTTTCTGTGGAATCGTTAACAAAATATTCATATATCAAGTCTATAAATGAAATAAAAGTCACATGTAGGGCTAGGAGAACCTTCTTCCTCATCTTTGAGGTAGACTTTGGGACACCCCAGCAGAACCACAGGGCTCCTTGGAACACAGTTTGGAAACAGATTTGGAGAGCCCAAGTGTTTAAAAAATATATCCTTCATAAATGTCAAGTGTCTATTATATTTCTTTAGGTTGGATTCTAGAATTACATGGTCAGCAATATGATTTTGCTAATTGCCCTTCAGAATGCTCCTCAGTCTGAATGATGTTGCCTATCTCTTTACTGCGTTTATTATCAAATACACACAAACCAACAACCTCTCCTAATTTCTCATCATAGTTGTATTTGCATTTTTATTAGTAGTAAAACAATTTTTATCATATCTATTTGACATTTGTATTTTCTTTTCTCCTCCTCCTTCCCCTCTTTTTAGTTGACTTTTCATGTTTGACCATCTCTCTATTCATTCAGTACATATTAATTTTTTGTATTTTAACTGGGCATTATGCTAATGGATATAAACAGTAAGCAATACAGTTATGCCTCTGCCCTCACAGAGCTCACAGACTAGCATATTGTAGTCTTATTATTTATCTTGTTTAATTCAATTAACAAGATAGTATGGTAACCCTTTGTGACATGTGTTATAATTTTCTTAGTTTGCTTTTTAATTCTGAAGGATTTTTGTTTACATAATTAAATTTTTTTATACAGTCAAATCTATTGATCTTTGTTTCAATGCCTACATCCTTTTAAAATCAATTATCAGATCAATATTTATTTATATTTCTCCTAATATTTTGACTATTTGGTTTTTAAGATTTAAGTCTTTAATAATCTGGAAGTTATTTTGAGAAGCTCTAAATTGATTTCTCCCAGCCAAATATTGAACCAATTTTTTTTACATCGTTATTGAACATCCTTTTCCCACTAATCCTTAATGAGTTAGTTTATTCACTAGGCCATATTTCTGGGCCCTCTGTTTTCTTCCTTTCATCCTTCTTT